AAAGACTGTTACCCAAAATATATAAAGAACTCTTAAAACTCAACAAAAGGAAAATAAGAAAATGGATTAAAAAATAGGCCGAAGACCTTGACAGACACCTCCCCAAGAAAGATAAAAAAAATAGTAAATAAACATATGAAAAGATCCTCCACATCATATGTTAACAGTGAAATGCAAACGGAAACAATGAGATTCCACTACACACCTATTAGAATGACCAAACTACAGAACACTGGCAACACCAAATGCTGGAGGAAATGTGGAGCAACAAGAATGCTCATTACTTGCTGGAGGGAGTGCAAAATAGTGCAGCCACTTTGGAAGACAGTTCAGCAGTTTCTTACAAAACTAAACCTACTCTTATAACATGATACAAAAATCACGTTCTATAGTATCTACCAAAAACATTGAGAACTAGTGTCCACATAAAAACATGCACACTGAGGCTTTTTATATTCACACGATTGTATTCACAATTGCCCAAACTTGGAAGCAACCAAGGTGTGAATAGATAAATAAACAGTGGTACATCAGATAATGGAATATTTCTCAGCACTAAAAAGAAGTGCGCTATTAAGCCATGAGAAGATATGGAAAAATTACTATGTGAAAGAAGCCAGTATGGAAAGGTATTATTCTAGCTCTATGACATTCTAGAGCAGGCAAAACTATGACTATAGTAAAAATGATGAGTGCATGGCTTAGGAGAAGGAAAGATGAATAGGCAGAGCACAGAGGACTTTTAGGGCAGTGAAACTACGTGTAATAATATTAATATAAGTGTGGATACATGCTATTATACATTTTTCTAAATCTATAGAATACATAGCACCAAGAGTATAGCCATCATGTAAACTATTGATGGTGAGTGATAATGAGTCAAGGTAGTTTTGTCAATTGTAACAAATGTACCACTCTCAGAGATGTTGATAAAAGGGGCAGGTGTGAATGTTTAGGGCAGAGGGTATAAGGGAAATCTCTGTAATTTTCTTCAATTTTGCTGTGAACTTAAAACTGTTCTAAAAAAATTAAGTCTATTAAAGAAATTCATACACATACACAGAGCTAATATTGATCAACTGTAGACACACCAATAAACTAACCTGACTAAATTTACATAGACTATGCCTCCATTTCTGCTTTCCAGCTTAATTTATACCCAGAGATGCCATATTACTTGGGATGATAGCACCTTCAATGAAAGAAATTTTACAAATATGGATTTTTCAATCACAAGTTAAATCTGAAGATACTTGTTTCCAAAGCAACAAACAGAATTTTACATATTTAGTTGGAGCAACCTGTGTGAGTGAATTAGTGAAAAGAGTATATTGACTAAGTCTGTAAACCTGGTCACCATTTCAAACCATCCTTTATTAGTTGTCATTATCTATACACCTACTACCCACTGCCTTTAACCCTGAGCTGTTGCTCAATCCTTGCCTCCAAGACAATCTCCACTGCTGGAGTCAAATAAGCACACTGAAAACTCATTCCCCATAATGCTTTATAGCTATGATTTGACTCTAACTTTTGCAAAACTCACTCTAACCTTAGGCTTGAGATTCATGTGGATAAACTACATGATAACCTATAATTTTTTTTCCACATCAGTAACTACATTCTTTTAAATGAGTCCGAACGCAGATCTCCTAATGCATATTCTGATTCTGTAGCAAATTGTTACCCTGTAAGTTGCCAGCGCCTCTGGAGGTCCTCAGGTGAAGCACAGTAGGATGGAGATTGGTCCATTTCTTTTGACGGTGATGGTTAACACATGTGTAGCAATTTTAGTTTGCTACACCCATGGCCACATTGCCTGTGGGGTCTGAAGCTACCCCAGCCCACCATCAGCCGTGCAGTGTTTCCTGTGTCTGTGGACATTCTGCTAACTAACGTACGGAGCCTTTATTCTCTGCGCCTGCAGTCACCACAGCCCTCTGGGGCTAATTTTTCTGGATGCAAGGCCTAGTGCCTATTTTCCTCAGCATGGCTGTTGACGCTGATACCTCCACGGCACTAATGCCTGCCATCCTCAGTGAAGGAGGACAAATTGCGTGTCCTTCTCAACGATGCATACTCCAACTTCACAAGACAATCTCCACTGCTGGAGTCAAATAATCACACTGAAAATTCATTCCCCATAATGCTTTATAGCTATGATTTGACTCTAACTTTTGCAAAACTCACCCATGCTCACAATTTTTTCCAGTTTGTGGCCCATGACTCAGGTTTCTACTCTCCTTCCACTGACTAAACTCTCCCCTTGCCTCACGCCTCACTGCAGTGGTTTATTCCCATCAGCAGTACCCCCTCTGCATTCTCAACCTCTTCTTTGATTCTTTCTTTCTTCCTATTTTAACTGAAACCTGGATCTTGCCTGAAAAGTCCAATTCTCCTCCTACCTCTGTCAAAAGCTGTTTTTCTTTTCTCACTCTCAAAGTTAGGGATTTGGCCTGCTGGGTTGTAAAGTACTTGTTTCTTGTGAAAATTCTGTTCCGTTAAGTTTACGCCATCCACACTCTTGCAGAGATTACTAAAAATCCATTTCCTCCTTTCTCTCAGAGCCAGTAAGCTTGCATATCCAGGCCTCTCTTGCAGGAAGATGTGGCCACATGATTTAGCTCTAGCTAATAGAATATTAATCAAAAAGTGACATGAGCCCTTTTAGCCTTAGGTCTTTTAAGAAGTAGATACACATCTGCTATGTTCTCTTTCCCCATTTGCTAGCTGGATGCAGATGACAAGAAAACCTAGGTGATATTGAAACCATAAGATGGAAGAAGCCTGGATCTCGGATTCACTGCTTGAATAAAAGCTTGTCATTTGCTACCTTGGCAGGTAAAAACACCTACCTTGGACAGGAAGAAAGTAGTAGCAGAAAATCAACTGCTACTGTGCTTGAGCCACTATAACCATGGGCACTATTTTTTGATGCAGCTCACATTATTCTTACCTATATATTATAAATGTTCTTCATTGTCATCTACCAGACTCCAGTATAGTCTATCTCACTTATTGGAGACTTTGGCATAAAACAAACATATTTTTCCCCTCTATCTCAACCCATTATGAGTAACTGTAATATCCACGTAGACAACCTATCCAAAACCATGTCCTTTAAATCCTTGACCTATAGTTTCAAATTATTTCCACCTCTACCTCAATTTGGTTACTCGTTCACATAGGAATACTTTGAAAACTGTCATCTCCTATAACTCCATCTTCAAAATCACTATCAACCAATCTGCCATATGACTGAAATCTCCTCTCCATTTCATCAACTTGTTCAAGCATTATCATGATGATTATTAATTGATTTCACTGAGACAATCATCCTTTCTTCATTTCCCTTCACATCTACCTTAGATTCCATGATGCATCATTTGAATAACATCCTGAATTTCATTGCTCTTCTGACTTTCCTTTACACACACTTAGCGAAACCCCAAACCTGCAGAAATTGATCTGTCTGCCTTTTCTCTGATGTAATATCCAGATAATAGAGCACTAATGAATAATATAACACGGAAGACCAATTCCAGTATAAAGATGCAATCACTAATCTCTAACTAACCCTCAACACTTCCAGAAATACAACTACCAACTTAGCATCTTCTCCCAAATATGAAAAAGGCACCCTAAAACTCAATATTTCCACACACCTAATCTAGTAAATATCTCCCATAAATCTTTTCTTCTGTCAGTATTTTTTCTCAGTGACCCACCTTGTATCTACACATGCACACCGTAACCATGCATTCATCCTTAACAATCTCCTTCCTTCCACGTTCAACATCAGTCCTTCTCAAGCACTTGTTAATATTACTTCCCAAATACCTATCAACTTCTCCCCATATTTTCTATCACCACACTAGTCCAAGCCAATAGCATCTTGCCTGGAGTAGATCTTAAGAAATTTGTAATTTTATTTAAGCTTTATTACCTGATCATCATCTGTAAAATTACTATACTATAAGCTCCTTTGGATTGGGTTTTTGCCCATTTTTGCTTTCTATTTTATCTCTAGCACTTTGCATTTTTTCTTTGCTTATTATGAATTGATAAACATTTACTGAATAAATGGATGAATGGATACATTACTATAGGTACATGTAGCAGTGTTATCAGAACAAACATATTCATGTATGTGAAGCAAGTATTCATATCCACATCATCTAAGAGAGAAAATCTGAAGTTCAACAAAAGCCATACATGCAGATCATGATGAATTTGGATTCAAATTTAGATCTTCTCAATTTCCCTGACTAACTCCTGAGTATCTTTCTGGTCCTATACAGTGATGTGCTTTAAACCTTACAGAATGCTCTCTTTTTCCTTTAACTAATATATTTTTTTTTCATTTAACATAATTGTATAAGTTAATGCGATTATCTATAAATACAGAAAATAATGCCCATGGAAGGCATTGTAATGCTTTAAAAAGCATGCTACTCCCTGCAAATGCTTTAAAAGAAATACATTAATTTTGTAAATGGAAGTGTTTAACAGCCACACTCCAAATTAAGATTGAAACCAAAATATAGCCAAAGTAGTCCTCGTGTGAAAGGAAAAGGAGCCAGAGAAGAAAATGACAAAAACTGACATTAAAAACCATTATTTTCTATCACTTACTGAGTGCCATGTTGCAGACACCCTGCTAAGCAATTCATATGTGCTGTAAAATAGAAACTATTATTATCCCTATTTTACAGATAAGAAAATTGAGAATTAGAGGAAACAATCAAACCCAGGAGCCAAATTCAACTTCTGTGTGATTCCAGAAGCTACACTTAACATTAAATTGCCTTCTCAGTAAGTAGTTAAGTCTTCCATTTTGAGCCATTACTTAGCGAAAAATCAACAAAAGCATTTTTTACTACTAATAGCATCTGATAATGAGACATTTCAATTATAATCAGATGGGGAAGGAGAACACTGTGTACATTATGAAACTTAGCTTTCTTAGGATATTAAATAAGCAAATTGTTTAGTCTTACCCATGAATTCAATCCCCAAATGGTCTGCTACACCGAAGTCGGCATGGAAAGAAGGGGAACAGAAAAAGAGAAAAAGGTTAGAAAAAAATTCCACACATAGAAATCAGTGCTGATAAGACCAACATTCAAGGGAAGGGACATGTGTTAATTTTAACCACTATGCTTGAGAAAGAGAACTTACAGATCACCAACAATATGGGTGCTCCGAACACCGACAGGTATTTCCTTAAAGCTTCTGAACTATAGTTTAAAATTTTAGATGAACTAATATTGCATAAATTACAAATTATGCTAAGTATAAATTTAGCAAAAAAAAAAAGAAAGGAAAAAGACTGTTTACACAGTGAACATCTGGTACTAATGTTATTTTGAGAACTAATAGTATTTTACATGTAATAACTATTTGTTCAACATAAACTTATTTGAACCTCCATGTTAAGATGAGTAAGCAAAGAATTCCTGCATGAAAGGCCCTACCTAGGTGCTCTTCACCTGCACAAAAAAGCAATTATGGTAGACTTTTCTCTTTCTTTCTCTCATTTATTGGATGAGAAAACCATGCTTCGAAGAGACTAAAAATCTTCCATAGGTCCCCAAATTTGAGGCAGATTCTAGGTACAAATTCTGTCTACCTGACCCTTAACTCTCATGACTATTCAACTTGACAAGCCATCCTATCAAAACCAAATGGTAGGTGTGTCCATGACAGTTGCATAGGTACATGGATAGCAAAGGGTCTTGACCAGCTGAAATGTTCCTGATCAGCAGAGTGATCGATTGTGCTGGGCTAGGCCCAAGCATTTGATCACGGAGATTCAGAGATTTCTTTATTTAAATGGTGCTTTCTTTTGATCATTTAATTTTGCACTTATTCAAGTTTTAAATTCGTTGTATTACTTAATGATATTTTCTGTTGCTGTAATATTTATCTGAAATGAGAATAAGTGGGGGGGAAAAAGTACTGCTACAATTATATTTTTTCCTAAGACTAATAGCTGAGCTTCCTTTTTAAGAGTTCTTCATTTAGCAAATCTTTTCCTTTCAGAAATATGCACTTAGTAACCTTGAATATTTCAACGGCCTTTCCTGTTTGTAAGTAGTTCATTTTTTTAAATTTTATTGTGGAAAAACATACATATAACATAAAATTTGTCATTTTAACCATGTTTAAGTGTATGATTCAGTAGTAGTAACTACATTCACAGTGTTGTATAGTCACTATCAATTTACTTCTAAATTTTTTCATCACCTCAATCAGAAACTCTTCACCCTTAAGGCATAATTCTTTTTTTGTTCCTGATCCCAGCCCCTGGTAACCACAAATCTCCTTTCTGTCTCTATCAATTGCCTATGAATAGTTTTTAAGTGATTAGCACATACTTTGACTGAGAAATGTCTACTTATATAAACAGAGAGGGTGGCCATGTTTCCAAAGAGCAGATGCGTCTTCTCTTCACTTGGCATTTGGTGCTTGCTCTGGGCTGACATGTGCTATGATAGTATCGAGCACACTTTCGTGTAAAGACAGGATTTTTGTTTTCAAGTAGTTCAGAAATCAATGGGAGACCACAGAGAAAAGGCTCTGGTCATTCTTTTTAATAAGTGCTATAATGGAAAAGCAGAAAATGGACACAGGATGAAGAGGCCGGCGACCCATAAACTTGCTCCTGGGAGGGAAAGAATGTGTGATACAAACAGTGAAATCTGTAGAAAAGGCGGGAAGACCATGTTTGTGTTCTTGTGCAAATAAGAAGCTTCGTGACTCTGTGCACTTAGAACACTAGACAGACGCAAGTTGTGGCATTTAAATACAAGGAGGTGAGATTCCCTACAATGAGACTAAAGGTAAGGGAAAAAAAAAAAAGACATGTAATAAAGAGCTAACCTTTTGCAGCATACAGCCAGAAGAGAAGGTTCAGGAAAGAATTCAAGAGAGGGGAGTGTGCAGAAATCAAGGAGCAGAGGACCAAAAGAAGTGGACCATAGATATTCGGTTACATGACTGGGTGGGTGGAAAGCCATTAGATTCAGCCTGGTTGAACAAGAGCTTGCTGGCGGAGCTGAGCTGGCTCAGAACTGGCTGCCTAGAGTCCGTTTTGTGGTAGGGATAATCAGTAGCCTTTTTCCATTCTTCTATGACCTTAGCTGCTCCACTCTGTATGTGACCGGAAATATGAGCTTTGTGAATGTGTAAACTGTGCTAAGAAGTGAGTGGCATGTTTGGTAAATACGAACACCTTCCAACCACAATAAATTCATGACCAGTAGCAGAGACGGAAATCAGAATTTAAAAATTATTCAGACACTTAAAGGTCTATGTAAGGAAAGCAAAGAAATATGGCTTCTCTAACATAACGGAAAAGTTACATCTAATTATTAGAGTTGTAATTTTCAGAAATACTCTCAAGCAGGATGGCATTCATATTCTTGGATTTTAAAGGGAATTGTTTATTAATTTTTATAATAGACTATGCATGGAAACTGACACCACTGATCACACAAATAAAAAGTTATATCATATTTACAATCTCTCTCATGCACAAATATACACACATATTTCCACTGTTTTCTTAAAATTCTAACACTGTGATCACTATTGCAGGTTTTAAGGCACTCACAGGCTTTGGCACCTACAGAAGAATCAATGAAAATCTACTAAGAACAGATGACAGAAAAGCAATTAATTTTGTTGTTTGAATCATACACAGACCATAAACCACAGTATTTCTCAAAACCCTTTACTGGCTATTTCTCAAAGCAAACAGCCTGCCTGGGGATATTCAGGCCTGCAGGAAAACATCAAGAGGGATGAGGTGAAGATTAATTAAGGAATAGTTTATTTATACACTCACTCAACAAACTATGTGCCAAGCATTGCACAGATAACAGGGTGGGAGAGGAGGCACATATTTAAGCAAAAACAGTTTGATTTTCCCTAAGGCATGTATTGGAATATATAACCTCCTTCTTCCCAACTCTTCAATTAAGTTTTATATATTAAAATTGCATTTGTTTTAAAATACTCCCAGCTTCAGATTCTAAAGTAGTGGCTAACATTTACTGAGCACTTAACTATGCACCAGGAATTCCTTGAAGTATTTTCTAACAGCAGCTTACAAGGTTGTGGTTATGCTCATTTTACAGGACTGGAACAGAAGCACAGAGAGGGGAATGAACTTTCCCCAAACCACACCAGCTGTGAGTGCTGGGAACAGGATTGAGCCTACGCCAGCTGGGCTCTCAGCCGCTGGTTACGCTCAAAGTTTTCATATGCCCTCCCTATAAAGAAAAAGCTAAGTTTTACAAAAATCATCAAGTAATGAGATCTTCAGGGAGGAATTATTTAATCCACTTAAGAGAACAAGTTGTTTTCAAGTATCCTCAGGCACTGTAGAAGCACCACTTACTTACTTGCTCACCCCTAGTCTATTGATGAAGTGCCAGACATCAATAGTAGGTGGGGGACAGAGGAAGACGACTGGTCCCTGTCTCTGAGGAGCCAAATTACTAAATCATTAATATTTCTTCATTGGTTACCAGCAAATTTCTTCATGATAAGGCTGGCCTAGTTGAAGTGACTTGCTTGTACATATAGCAAGTGACATGAAAAAAAATTTGTCTGAAAATATGCCAAGCATTAAACCAAATGATCTTACACCTAATTAGCAACAAGCTTAACAAATGCCAGCAACTCTGCTGCAGAGCTGAAACCGTTGTGAAGATCTTAAGACTAGGTAGATGACTCAGGAGACAAAGCGAACATTCTATAATACCAAAAACTCCTGGAAAACTCCTGGAAATTCGAGGCTCACAATTTTTTTTAATTGACAGAAATTGTCAATTGTATGTATTTATCATGTACAACATGATATTTTGAAATGTGTATACATTGTGGAATGGCTAAATAAAGCTAGTTAACATATACAATATTTCACATATTTTTTTTATGGAGATAACATTTAAATTCTACTCTGTTAGCAATTTTCAGGTATATGATACATTGTTATTAACTATAGTTGTCATGGTAATGTTGCACAATAGATCTCTTGAACTTATTCCTCTTGTTTAACTCTAACTGAAATTTAAGGCCCACATTTCTAAAGTGTCCATGGTTCCTTGTACCTCTTGTTTATATGCCGACAGACAAAGAGGGGCTAGCAACAGGTCCCCAAGGTGGGCAGGCTGAGAAAGAGCAAGTGAAAGCAGTGCTTGACTTGATTCCAGTCTCGGGGTGCAATGAGTCATGCTGGCATCAGGCTATAATCAAGAACTCTCCACAGTGCAGCCCTGGGGCCGAGCAACATGAATGCAGGTTTTAAGCACCAGCCCTGTATTAAGAGTAACTGAGCAAAGTGATTTTGTCATATAACAGTCCCAAATGTGATGCTTTAAACCCTTCTTCTGTGAACGTGGAAAAGCATGTTACATGAAAATATTGAGCTGTGTTTTACAACGTCAGAATACTGGCTTAAGGTTCAGTGGGCTTCTCTGTTGCAGGAATCCCCCAAACACCTCCTATTTGTGTGGAGACTCTGTGGGTGGTAGTGAAATAGGCAGCATTTGCCAACTGGATGAAAACAGCCACGTTGTCACGGAGCGCCCTGTGGAACTAGTGATATATGGTACTCGCTCTGGGAATTACATGCCATGTAAGTGTGGAACAAACCACCCACTCAATTACAAAATATGTCAGTTGTAAACGGTTTATCTTAATACCTGAACTGAAATCTGTCACTCTGCAGATTCCACCCCCAGATCCCTGTCAAATGGCTTTTTAACTGGTGACACTCTAGGAAGAGGTAGCCCTTCCCAACTGAGAAGACGAAATTGGATTTAGGAAGAATGTAAGCTGGGTCTTGAATATTTGCTGACCCTTAACGCCTTGAGCTCATCATTCTCTAGTAGCTTCTGGAATCACCGTAAAGAGATGTCATCGTCTCGTGCTTCAGCAATGGGTCCATGTGCTCTGTGACAGCAGTGAGGGGAGTGGCAGCCACACCTGAATCTCTCAGGCCTTAGATCCCACA